GAATAAAATTGAAGCAAAAATATGTTGGGAACTAAGAGATTAATTAGGATTTATCTGCAACAGGATAGCCAATATCATGTTAAGTGGGACTCTTCAATCAGAATGAGCTAGGGAGCTGCACGTGCTCTGTTACTCTTAGTAAAAGTCTAATAATAGCAGATCCTATCTTATAGGGATCTTGTAAGGATTATATGAGATTTGCTATGGTACAGATAAAGTGTAAGTGTATGCTAAAAGCATTCAGTACTTTTTTATCTTGACCCAGAAGAGAGATGCACGGGTTACCATATTGAACAGTGACAGTAGAACTACCCATCACACAAATGTAAGTCAGGGGAATTGGCAAAACTTCATAATAGATTGATTATGAAAATAAAGTAGATGATATGTTTAGGAGGCCTTTCAATCTCTGGCTTGAAGTTGTCAGTAATTACAAGAGAGGTTTGAGGAGAGAAAATGGGAAGGAGATGCAAACGTGTCTATTGTGGGTATATCTACTTGAAGTGACCTGAGTGAAAGACAAGGTAGATACACAGTTAGGACACAAACATCTTGATTGGAATTGTTTATTTGGGGGTAAATCTCTTCAAATAATTGGTATACAAAAAAATAAGTAGGTTCATTCACATAAGCAAAGTGTTGGCAGAAAGATCAGTTGACCAAAGTTGAAACCCTACCATATAGCAATATTTAAAGGACAAGCAGAAACAGAGAAGAGCAAAGAACTAGGCTAAATTAGTGTAATGGAAGCTGAACATTTTAAAGGTTTCACAAACAGTTCATGGTCAACAGTACCTGCATGAAAAATATCTAGATTATATATTTACTAAACGCGACAGTTGGATTTGACCACAGAAAGTTTTGATGACTTCAGTTTTGGTGGAGTAATTGGGTTGCAAGTAAAATTAAGATAATAGAGTAAATGAAAAGTCAGGAACTAGAAACAGTAAGTGTACTATACTTTCAAGAAAGTAAGCTTAGAGGAGAAGGCAAGCCCAGAACAGGGGAAAGCAAGGTGTAATGAGAGTATTTAAAAAAAATTGGAGAGTCTTATCAGATTTCTCTCTCATGTACTTTACTGACTAGTGATACAATTAATTGACGAGGAATTTAGTGAATCAAAATTCGAATGTGGAGAAAAGGTGGGAAAAATATCAACTTCTGTTTAGAACATGGTGCAATATAAATGCATATATTCAAGTGAGTAAGATATAAAATAAGAATTCTAGAAGGGAAGGCAGGTTAAAAATTGCAAATTAAGCAATCATTGGACAACTGATAGTAGCTTAATCCATTGGAGTAGATAGAATTAACTAGGAAGGTCAGAAACAGTAAGGGGAATATCAATTCTGTTAAATAAAATATTCAAAATTCAGACAGAGGATGCATAATTATCATAATTAATTGAGTAGACTTAAATATTATAAA